CACTTCTTGCCTCAAAGTGCCAAATGTCCTTGCATCCACAAATTTAACAACGATCTTCTGTTCCACAGGTGAAGCAAAAGTTGCACAGCCGTTCCAATTTACAGTAGGATGCTTCACGCACGTTAAGGCCGTTAAGGCATTCATAATCGCACCCTTTTGAAGCATTCAGAGTCGTGCCCTTCAATAAGAAGATCTTGTTGATTTTAGACTGTAGCACATGCAACTTTGTATAAAATACTGAGCGTACACTCGTCATTTCGAGTCTTGCCTCAATAGAAAATATAATGGCACTGTGTTTTCCACTCGGTGTGGCCACTTCTCGGCTCGTTAACATAAAAATGTCCTCTTGTCACTATCGCTCTATCCACCGGCAAAATGTCTGGTTTAGATTTGCTGAACAATTAGTTCATGACGTGTGTCCTCACTTCCTGGGCACATTGCCGAGGCCCGGGTACCTCATATGCTGCAAACAAAAGCTAGCAGTTAGTGGGCACTCCGTGGACCGCCAGACGACATCCCGGGTGACTTTGACCCGTGGGCCTTGGACACCCATTCCGACCACGAACACACTCGCAGACGTGGGGGCGACTCCGCGGAGTACCGACGACTGTCAAGTTGCGGCGTGGGTTTCGGGTGATTCGTTCGAGAGCTCATGCTCGCAAATATGGATTGGGTGCGTGGCGGTCGTGCCGGGGCCTCAAAAAAGTGTGTGTGTGTGTACATTTGAAATTGTTCGGCAGTTTCAAGCCTTGAAGATTGGACTGCGTGCTTGCGTGGGTGGGTGGGAAGTTGCTTCCAGTTAACATTTGTTGAAGAATATCAACATCGGTCAGTCTCTCCACCAATCAGAGGGTGTTGTCCTCGCCCCCTAAGACTGGAACAACATAGAAGGAAGGTGCGAAAGAAAGTCGAAAGTCGAAGCATGAGAAAGAGATCAGAGAACATCGTTGAGGGCTACACTCTTTCCTGGAAAGTTCTACAAAAAGAATCGTCATTGCAATTTCGTCATGCGCATCCAGAAACAGGTGAATGCTCCTATGCCCAGAGAGAGAGAGAGAGAGAGACAGAGAGAGTCCAAGTGAACGAATCGCTGGCTGCGTTTAAACTCTCAGGGCGCGAGATTAGAACACCAGGCATCAGGCATGAGTGGAACATCACAGCCAGTGTCGTGCAAAGTTCGGAAATTATTTCGGTGTCAAGTATGGCTTAAAGGGAGTGCCCACGCAAAGGCCCGAGGAACAATTCGAGAAAGCACTCCAGTGGTTATACTATAATTACCCCGAAAACCTTACAGTACGCTGTTGCCCTCGTCAAAAAGCCATCGGTGCTGAGGGCACGGCTCGTCGCAGCTTTCGAACAGCTGCCGACGTCTTTCCGCCGACATGATGCCCCTGCCCGCCATGCGGTTTTGGGTTTAGGATTTTGGTACAACTGGCACAACCAGGCGAGGACAACGGCCGAAACGTCACAGCACAAAGCTGTGAGGGCTTAAGGTGTAGGTCCTAGGTGTTCTGTTTGCTCAGGGTTGAAGGTTGGGGGTCTCCGTGCTTCCAAAAGGCGCCTCAACTGTGTTGCACGAACGTGACAGGGGCTCTCAAGCATGCAGAGGCACATGATTACGTGCAGAAGACCCAGGACATGGACCTCTTGTGGTTCCTATGTTTAAAGCCGGCTCTAGGCAAGGGTATCAACTCCTTGAGAGGTAACACTACAAGTATGTGAAAGTAGCTGGGCTTCTTTCACTCTGAAGTCGGTCAAGCGTTCTGGCCTTCCTCCGCCTTCGTTCTTCCCACCACCCTTGCAGCCACCTGACCGGAAGTTGCAAAAGCTGCAACGAATTGGGCATGCTTAGCTGCAGCGATGTCACCAATGACGAATGAGGGAATGTGATACTGGAAGACAAAGGCACCGCTGCTTGCGAGAAATGGGCCTCGCATTACCCTAGCCAGCATTTCTACCTGAGTCTACTTCCGTGATCTCTCTTGCTGCTGCCAGGGGCGGACCAGGAGACGCCATCCCATGAGAGAGTGATCAAGCAGATATACGTTCAGCAGGGGTGCTTTTTGGGGACATCTTTCGAGTCTCTGTCGTCAGATCACATCCAGCAGCCACGCCGTACTGAGTAGTGCCAGACAGCACAACGCAGCATTTACGAGTCCATGTTAAAAGCGGCGCTTTTTATTTCGTGTGACAGTTTAAAACATAGCTGGATCTTGGCGGTGTGTGTGTGTGTGTGTGTGCTGATCAGCTTCCCCTTCCACTATCACAATGATTTCGCTGATGAGTTGCACATGACCATACTGCACGCAAATTTCGCTTCTTGCTGCTGTGGCTGCTCAGGCTGATGTTATGGTGGAAGCGACCCAGGGTGCTGCAGCATCCCTGGGCACCCTAAGGCATGTATCTACGGTGATTTACACGGAAGCCTCGGCAAGAAAAACGCGCAGCAAGCAAGAAAGAGCGGCAAACTAGTTTTTAATATGATGCACAATACGTGAAGAAGAGCTTCACTGTACGAGCACAGCACCAGTGACAAGACAAGCAAGGAGGTTCTGCAAGGCGCAATCACTGGATGAATTCACTTTCCTTCACTCCTGACTTTCAGAGGCTCTCTGCACTCCAGCAACGGTGCGGTGCGCCTTTGTCACCGCCTTTGTCGCCGCCTTTGTCGCCGCCCTTTTTACCTTTGCCGCCGGGGGGGCTCATGCCACCGCCGGGTGGCATCCCCCCTCCGCCGGCTCCGTCAACCTGCACGGCTTAAATGCTCAGTTTAAATGGAGAACCTTGGAGAGAGCTGCACGCATTCGTGTAAGGGAGAGCAGCGAAACAACGATGGGGATAGAGACTCGAAGTGGCTATGCTTCGACTCGTTCTAGGTCGTGTGTCTTTCCCTGACCTGTGGGGCAGATGTGCGGGAGTTTCCCGTGCATGTCTGTCTGTATATACATGTGTGGGAGGGGGGCGGGCCGGTTGCTGGGTGAATGCCTCCTTGTTCGTTTTGTCTGTGTGTGTGTGTGTGTGGGCATAGATAGAGGCACATGTTCATCATGATAGACAGATGCAGTATGGAAAGATTGAGACAAGATATGCATGCATGCATTTTTCTAAGCACAGTTGTGGTTTTGCTATTCGGGTGTAACTGCGGATGCTGAATGCTGATGTCGCCATCGATGTCAACAGCGACGGGATTTGAGATGTCCAGGCCGAGCTTTTGGATCTCGAAGCCGTGTTCACGGCGTAAGAATGTCGTACATGACTGGCGTGCTCCACCTTTACTTCGAGCTCTTTGCCTGCCCTCACTGACCCTACCTCGGCATGCATATCTGCGTGCATGCACCTGCGCGCACCTTTGTGCACATGCAAGTGCAGACTGAGGCATATGTGTATAGGAATTATGCCTGCGCATGATCCGGTGCAGAATCATGCATGTGGGATTTGCTAAATGCAAAGTGGCAGCTATAGTTGACTATCACATGTACAGTGTGAGTGAGTGAGTGAGTGAGTGAGTGTCGACCAGCACTTACGGTGCGGCCTACCTCCCACGTCCCTCTCAACATCTCAGGGGGGCTCCGCACATGTACAGTGTGTATATACACATGTATACCTATTTATGTATGTTGTTATGTATGCAAACATGTGTGTGTAGGATCATGTATGCATGTATGCATGCACGCATGTATGTATGCATATATATATATGTGTGTGTGTGTGTGCGAGCTTTTACAAACATGTATATATATATATATACCGAAACACACATGCACACATTCGTACATACATGCATGCATACATGCCTACATATTTACATCCATCCATCCATCCATCCATACATAGCATGTGTGTTAACATGCATATGTACACATATAAGTATACATACACATACACATAGACATACACATACATCTACATACATACATACATACATACATACATACATACATACATATGTATATATATATATATGTGAGCATACACACAACTACACAATTGTGAATGCACAAGTGTGTGTGTGAGTGTATACATGTGGGTATAAGTATACGTGTGTGTATACACACATACACTTAGTGATCTCTACACAGATGTAAATATGCACATGTGCGTGCGCTCAGAGCTTCCCTGGCTTTCTTTGTGATCCCAAGCGAGCAACCCTGGCCCAAGAACTGTGCTACAGCATATTACAGCATGCTGCTAGTCAGGCCATGGGCGCATGGCCCTACAAATGGACATTGATTGCAAGGCTCCGAGACCTAAACCTCTGAACCTACCACCCTGCACCTTCAACCTTACTCCAAAGCCCTAAACAAGTCACTAAGTCTCAACATTCGCTGCTTGCCTGGACGTTTTTCGCGCAGCTCTTGCCCTGTGGAGCCAGGGTGAATGACAGGGGTGTTCTAGGGTGTTGTAAGGGGTGTCTAGGTTTTTTTGCAAACCCGGTGACAGCAGTCCTTCTCAACACTGTCATCTTCTGTGCAGTAGTATGCAGTCGCTGCTTCCAGCAAGCTTTCGAGCACCCTTCTGGCACCCCCCCCCCCCCTCCGAACCGAATTATCGGCTTCTTGGCTGATCCGAGACCTCTACAGGCAATCCGCTCGAACTCCCCAGTCCGTCGCCTTAGCGTCGTCGAACGCCTCAACGAACGTTACGCGGTCACCCTGTCGAAGTGTCGAATCCCCTCCACGCTGGTAGTTGCCTCAGTGCAGCTCGAAAAGTTGTTTCTGAGGCAAGATTGGGTCTCGCTGGAGCTGACGCGATCATCTTGCAATGGCAGCAAAATTTAGTGTTGCTACTGTCTTGCATGCACAGCACAAATCTGAAGTCTGTAAATCTGGTCCCAAAACCCCTTTCAGTGCCGTGCGTGGCAGCGAGGAGAAGTGGACAAACCTCGTCAAGTCATGCCATCGTTTTGCCAGCGGGCTGAAAATCACTGCACAACAGGCCCCCTGCAAAAACACATTGCGCACATGGCCAGTCACTTGCACTATCCTTTGCAGCCATGACGCAGATCTTTGTCCCCGCTGTCTGGCTTGATGAAGCCAAAACCTTTCTCGCCATCCCAATTGCTGACCTTACCGTTGGTTGGGATCAGCTGGCCGACAAACTCTGCAGTGATTATTAACCTCAGACCTGACCTGAGCGAAGCCCCACAACCGGAAATCTCAAATACTCAACGGAAAACTCCCCAGCCCCAAACCAAGCCCTGTTTTCTGTGCACATACCATAGACCAGATCCCCAATCCCGAAATCCTACTATAGGCCTTATTAATTAGAATAGGGTTTTGGTACCCATTATACTATACCTATAATAAGGAACCCCCAAAATGGCATAGGTAATTATGAAGGCCCCTTGATAAAATTACCCTCAAAACTAGATCCCTTATAGGAACCCTGGTAGACCCCTTCAAGGGAACTCTTTAAAGGAACGGCCCCTATAGTACATCCCGGCCATCTGCAGCTGCGTGGCGGTTCCTTGAGATCGTCCCGGGCCTGGGCCTCCGCCGCCGCCTGCGTGGAAGGGCCACAAGCTGAAAGCACTTCATAGACTCTTTTAGGGTTGAGGGGGTTTCGGATTGTTGTTGCGTCCTGCATGGCTTGGTACGCGAAGCAGGGAGATAAGTTACAGATCCGTGAATTCACTCCCCCAGTTTAGGATTAGGGTTTAGGGTTAAGGATCTTGCAAATGGATTTGTGGCTTTCGTTTCACATGGCTTTTGTGGTTTTGTACCTCGGGGGGGTCTGGACCTGATACAAACAAAGCTATACGCTGCTTCATCCGAATATCAAGACATCCTCCTCAGCAGCTCGAATAAACTCCTATTTCCAAAGGGGTGATCGAAACTGCCCCTACTGCTATCAGGTACGTATTACACATCACTCCCGCGACCATGAAACCTCCGGATCGACATGCTGATTTCTACAGAGCTCTGCTGACCTTCAAACCCCTAAATCTCAAGCCCGTCTACAACAAGGTTGAGGGTTTAAGGTTTTTTTCTTGAGGGTTTAAGGTTTAGGGCAGTTTAGGGTTTAGGGACAGCCAAGAAAACCGCCGGTCACCCTAGTCCTTGTGGACCTAGCAACATCCCAAAGCCTCCGGGCCCACACAGGCAAAACTTCCGCACAAGCCTGGTTTCCTACCCTGAAAAGACCGAAACCTACTGGCACGTATCCAAGCGCAAACTATAAGTAACTCTTACCCATAGGCCCCATAGTAGCTCCTTTTGGGGATTACCTTATAGGACTCTGCACATGAACCCCAAAAGGGACGACTATGGGGTCTATGGGTAGATTCTCCAAACTGGATATGACATATCCTCAAAGCCGACCTCCGTAGCCGCCTCCCCCGCGACCTGGACCACCTCCGCCTCCGCCACCGCCTGGAGTCTTCTGGCTGTTGCAGGTTTTGGGCTTTCGGGGAGGTTGGGGTTTTGTGGGTTTACGGTATCTTACAGAAGTTGCCTCGGTAAGGAGCTGTGACAGGAAGGCTTAGTTCAGGATGAAGCGGTCTAGAGCCCAGGCGATTCACGGTGCCGTCTTCTGCTCTGAGTTGCATGCCCTCCCCTATGCCCTGGCACATGCCGCATCCCAGAGAGTGGGTAGAATGTCATCGCATCCCCACCTTCGATCTGCACGTTTTTGGCGCACGGCTTGCCCTGGCAAGGCGAGGTCAAAGTATCGTGCGGCAAGCATGATCTGAGAAGTTCCTTGCTCTTTGCAACCGCCAACTCTCGCATCTTCAGCCGCCGTGAGCGGGAATGTCAGAGCTCACCAGAGGCTGAGGGAAGTTGCCTTCTTCTGATCGATCTCCTGGTCGAAGATGACCTGCCAGCTGCTTGTGCATGGGGTCACGATCAGGGCCGTCTAATCCTTGGGAGTCCCCAACACATGCCTGGACATAGAGTTTGAAAGTAACAGCCGCTCCAGCACTCTCTGAGATTCTGGGGCAAAGGAGTGCTTCAGGCTTAGTCGTTAGTTCGCTGTTCACTTTGTAATTGTCATCGCCTCAAGTGCTCAAGCCCTCCCCTTGCCAGCGAGCTTGCAGCCTCTAAAAGCTGCAAGAAGCCTCAAATCCGGAGCCACAACCCTAGCAGTCCTACAGATCGACTTGTTGCGTGATCCGTTCTCGTTTGTTTCCTTGCTCGCCTACTTGCAGCTTTGCTGGCTTCAAACAAACACTGTTTAAATCTATACAAAAGTTTATGTACGCCTCTGTCTGTCTTTGCTTTGCTCTCTTTTGTCTCTCTCTGTCTCACGTCATCAAAAGTTCTTTGCGATCTCTGCCTCCTGTTTTGCACCATCTTTTCGCTGTTGCATTTACTATCCGTGGGTCTGCGGAACATTTTGTTGTAATTCTACGCGCTAGCTGCCGTCGCCATCTAGTCGCCGTCGGGGCCGAGGGCGGAACCTGTGGCCTATGAGACTAGCACAAGCGCAAGTGGTGGTAGTACTGGTTGTAGTAGTAGTCGTCGTCGTCGTAGTAGGAGTGGCAGCGGGCAGTGGCAGTGGCAGTAGGAGCGGTAGGTGGAGTGGTCGTGCAAGTGGCATGGCACTGGCAGCAGTAGTGGTACTGGTGGTGCCAGTGGTAGTGGTAGCGGTAGCGGTGGCACTGCGTTGACCGTGGTAGCCCATGCTGGGAAAGGTAGTGGTAGCCGTAAAACAGTAATAACCGTTGTAGGAAAATACTAAAAGGAAAAGTAGTAGCAGAATAAGTAGTGGTGGTGGCGGTGGTGGTGGTCGTGGCCGTGGTCGTGGTAGCAGTAGCAGTGGCCGTACGTAGCAGTGGTAGTGAAAATGGAAGTGGCAGTAGCAGTCGTCGTCGTCGTAGTCGTCGTGAGGAGTAGTGGGAGCAACGTAACAGCAGGGACATCATGAGTCAGCAGCTGGAAGAACCCTTGAACCCGTCGCTTCCGAGAATCTTGCTCGGTCTCCGGTCTGCAAGACTTGGGTGCCATTGCCTCGGGTTGATTCGAAGTTGCGTCCTAGCTTCGGCTTATTTCATTGGCCTGCTTGACATCATACAATGACTGACTGCATCTGGCAACTCGCATTGCCGTGCGACTGAATAGCGACATTGAAACCCAAGTTACGCTGGTACTCGCGGGGAAGGTTCGAGAAGTGCACGAACACGTCCTGGCACAGCTCTCGCATATGTGCTCGAGGCATGCCCTATGCCAGCCGGCGCTTTGACGTGCACCTGTCTTGTCCGAGTAACTCATACTTGCAGCCAGAGCCCACCGTGAGCAGGAGAGAACTCTCATAAACTTATGAACCCCGCTTTTTTGTGCGAAGAAGCTGGGTTTCGGTGCACCCTCGCCTCAACTCAACTCTCTCCGAGGACTCTCCGAACAACTCTCGGCCTCGCTACCGCGGTCGGGCTTGATGAAGCCGAAGCCTTTCTCCTCATCATATCTCAAGACTGAGCCTGGCGAAGGACGGCGTAGGTCAGAAGAAGTCGAGCAGACGAGTCCCACCGTGCACTTCTGGGGATTTGGAACGGGAGCTTTCACATAACAGACGGATGTCGTCACTTTTGGGCTCGAGACATGCCGTCCGACAGCTTGGGCCACAGCTCCAAAACTCACCAAGGCTTGAAGCCGCTGGATCACTGGGCGTGAAAAGGAACCCTAAACCCTAAACCCTAAACCCTCTGCGTGAAAGCCCGACGTCTTTCCAGGCCTCGTGCCCGGCCATCGTCGCGACCCCCGCCGCCTCCGCCGCCGCCGCCACCACCACGCCCACCTGCGACTTCGAGCCCTGACTCCGGTCTGAAGTCGATTGTCGGTCTAGTAATAGTAGTAATAGTAATAATATTAGTAATAGTAGTAATAGTAGTAATATTAATAATATTAGTAATAGTAATAATAGTAGTAATAGTAGTAATATTAGTAATAGTAGCATTTTTTTGCCACCCGCCCAGCTGAAACAAGTCGCACCGCAGGTAGCATTAGTAATAATAGTTGCTGAAGTGCATGCTTCTTTTGCAGCTCATGCCATGTGTACATGTCCTTTTTCCTTTTGCTCGTAGGCCAAGCACAGTAGGTCTTGAGCAATGCATTTTAAGCACATCTGTACATTCATACTTGTAGGTGCCAAGCCCTCGCAAGTAGCACAGACTTCACTTGTTTTGTCTTCTTGCTTGCGTGTAAAACCTCCGCGATTGTGTGAGCCATGGGCAGTTCGGAAGACTCTGCTAGGGGATTAGCTACCCCACTAGTAGCTTCTGCTTCTATGCCTGCTGGTTCACACCAGCAGGTTATGAGCCCAACGCTTGGGCAGGGCTATGGCACCACAGCAAATCCATCCCCACCTCCCGGGAGGGATGGTATTCAGACAGGTTCAACGCCAACACTTGTGCATGGCCAAACAGGTGGAATGGGCTTTGAACCTATGGCTACGGGAGGGGCACTTGGAGGCATAGACCAGACTGGGGTTAGCGCAGACTCAGGGGGAATGCCACCGGTGTCGACCGCCACTGAAGGCGGTGATGAGGTACAGATGGTTGTGCCGATACCCGGCAATGTCGCGCCGGGCGGGAGCCCAGGGCTAGAGGCCAGCACTGGCATGTTAGGTACCGAGAGTGGTGACGCAGAGCCAGGGGGTAGAGTAGTCGCTGGTGCTTCCACGGAGGGGTTTGTCACCCCACGGTCACAGCAGGGATTGCCAACCATAGCTGAGATGGTTGAGGGCTTCCCTGGTACAGGGCTCCAGCTTATGACGCGAGTTGGGGACTTTTTCCGTGTAGCGCGCACTGAGGTGGTGCAGGTACCCGCAGTGGCGCAAGGCACACACGCCACACCACCACGAGCAATCACATCACAATCACGTGATAGTCCCAGCGGTGTTCCAAGGCAATTGGCTCTGGGAGAAGGGAGTTTGGGTTCGCAGAGTAGCTCGCCACCACAGTTGGGAGCGCATGGTACACCCACTTCCTTTGCACCGCCTCCTGGAAGGGATGGCTCCTTGTTGAGCGCGGACATGTTGCAGCGCATGCAAGCTTTAGAACAGAGGGCCCCCTTACTTTACGGTAGCCTGCCCGAAAAACCCCCATCGAGAACAGACTCATCGTCCCTGCCCCAAGAAGCGATTCAAGCTGAGGTTGCAAGGCAGCTAGCGGGGTTTGATCAACGGGCGCAGGCTCAGGACTTGGAAATACAGAGGATGCGGAGGCAACTGGAGGAGGCGGCCCAAAGGGAACAAGCTCTTAGGGAACAGGTAAGGAGAGAAGTGGCAATGACCAGTAGTGCCCCAATGGTTCCAACGACACCCCTTGCTGAGGTTCCCAGGCCACCCCTTCAGGATGCGCAAGTGCGCACTCCAATAGCGTATCAGGTGCATGATGCTGCAGCGCAGGCGGTTGAGGCTTTGAGAGCGCCCGCTCAAACAGCAGCTTCAGCAACTTCAGGTTATGGTCCAACTTTTGGTCGGGGTTGCAAGGTTCCCAAAGGTTACCTAGCAATGCAGCGCCACCCGGAAGGGTTGGGCAGCCAAGCAGCGCATTATCGGGTGTGCAAGGGGATTCCACCTCTTCTGGCCCAGACCCCCATTCTCGAGCCGAAAACCCGGGTTTGGGCCAGATCAGGGCTTCGGGCTCTGGTTTCCAGTCAGTTGCTGCCGCTAGTGCCCCAATTCCCCAGGCTTCAGCTGCTCAGGCCAGCACGGCGCCAGTAGGAGCAGCCAGTGTGTCGCCGGGGGGAACCCAAGGCCCTCCCACATCAGGTAACACCGTGCTTGATGCCGTATTGTTGGGAGTGCAGCAACTGCAAACTTTGCAAGCCCAGCACCTTAGCAGTAGCAGGAAGGAGGATGCCCCGGAAACGGTGAAAACGGGCATTACAACCTTTCCCAGACTAGCCCCACCCGATCCAGCTGGAGGCTCGTTGGACTTTCAGGATTGGTTGCAGCTCATTGCGGGCTTGATGAGTGACTTTTCGGATTCTTCTCAACTTTGGTGGTCAGGGGTAGTTCAGGTAAGCAAAGATGCGTACGATAAGTGGGTCGTCGCATCCCCCATCGAGCGCTTGACGCTTGAGCCTGACGAGAGGCCAGAGCTTACAGAAGGCAAGTGGGGGAGAGTGAATGCGCGTGCATGCGCAATGCTTTTGGATGCCCTGGACCCCACAGTGAAATCTGATATCATTGCCCGTAAGGCGAATCAAGCTGCGTCGCAAATCTTGTTTAGATTGTACACGACCTACCAGCCCGGGGGAATAGGGGAACGCAACCTGGTGTTGAGCAACTTGCAAAATCCCCATGTGGTGCAGGATGCAGCCTCAGGTGTGTCAGCATTGAGGGTGTGGGGACGGTGGTATCAAAGGTGCATAGACTTTGGTATGAGCTTGCCGGATCCAATGGTGTTGGTGGGAGGCCTAACCTCAATGACAAAGCCCGTCATCTCTAAGGAGCCGGAGGTTTCATGGCGAACCGAGATGGTGAAAAGTGCACTGCAGTTGCATGGTCGACCCTCGGAAGAGGCGGTCAAATCCTACCACAAACATTTGTTGGCCGAGTTTGAGACTTTGGCTGGAGCTCATGTTGCCAAAAAGGGTGGATCAGGTAACCTGGCATTGAAGGCAGCTGGTGTTGCTGGGGATAAGCCGGGAAAGGGGAGTGGAGGCAAAGGTGGAGGGAATGCCAACACATGCAAGTATTTCCTTTCGCCGAAGGGGTGTAGGTTTGGGTCCAAGTGCAAAAGCCAACACTCCATGAACGAGTTGTCTAAGGCGGAACGGTTTAAGAAGTGCTTGAATTGTGGTTCCGAGGAGCATCGCGCTAAGGATTGCAAGGCCGGTAAGGCGGAACCCAAAGCACCGGATCAAAAACCTTCCGTACAGGCAGCCTCATCCTCCACATCCTCGGGCCAACCCGTTGTCCAAGCCACGCCAGTGCTCAACATGGAAACCTTCATGCAACAGGCAGTCCAGGCTTTGAGGCAGTTGGAGGCCAATCCACCGTGCGGCGGCACCACGCCGCAAGCCCAGCCGCCTCAACCTCAGCCGGAAGGCTTGAGTACTGCGTTGCAGCAGCCCCCAGTGCCACCGGCATCGGCTGCGCCCGCATCGTCTGCACCCAATCCTTCGGTGAAGAGGCTCACCATTCGCTCAGTTATGCCCTCAAGTTGTTTCCCGGTTTCGGGCCCCCCAAACCGGGACTTTCCCATTGAGCCCGCGGTGGAGCCATCACCCGTTGCATCCCAACCACCTCTCATTGGTTACGCCCTTCTCGACTCCGGTGCCACTCACCCCATGCGGCAAGCATCATCTGAGGAGGAGTGGGAGGCCGCAGAGGAGGTACAAGTGAGTTTAGCCGGCGACCAAAGCACAATCATGCGTTTGACGCGTGCCGGCACTCTCCTACTGCCACCCGGAAGGGACGGCCTAGTGCAGCCAATAGTCCCAATGGGTGCTATCATAGAGCAGTTGGGGTACAAGCTAGTTTGGTCCGCCGGTAGTTGCAAGCTTTATCCTCCCGATGGTAAGTCGTTGAGGCTTAGGGTCAAAAACGGTTGCCCGGAATTGGTTGAGAGCCAGGCCCTTACGCTGATATCACGGTTGGAGGAACACAAAATGCAGCGCACATGGTGGGATCATTTGGTGGAGCATGTTAGCTCGTCAGCGCCAGCAGCGGGCCACATGGCAGTATCCACGGCGCCATTCTTTCAGGATGTGCCCGATCGTGCATTGTCAGGCCTACTCCCATCGGAAGATGTGGACTCCAAGACTTTGTGGAAAGCTCTTGAAGAAGGTATGCCAAACCTCAACCGGCGAAGGAGGAAGGCACTTCATCGAGCATCCAATTGGGTTGTGCACTTGTTTGCGGGCCCTGGCTCGCACAAGGCTTTCAAACGATTGGAGTCGCAGGATACAGTTGTTGTTGAGCTTGACATTTGCCGCTCAAGGAGCCAAGATCTTTACCATGATCCGCTTTGGACGCTTCTTGCTAAGGTTGCAAAGTTGGGACGAGTTGCGGCGGTCATTGGAGGTCCACCAACCCGCACGTGGTCCATGTCAGGGCACCGCGCCGATGGACCACATCCACTCCGCTCGCCCACTGAACCGTTTGGCCTGAGCACTCTCACCTCTGACGAGCGTGATCTCGTTGATCGTGATACGGGTTTGTATGCTCGCATGTTGTGGTTGCATGCACTTTCCACCGCCGGGAGGCGTGTGCACCCAAACCCGTCGGATGGAACATCCATGGTGGCATTCATGTTGGAGCAACCGTCGGTTGAACACCACATGGCTTCAAGCCATTCTGCTGTGGGTAGCGCCCCGTCGTTTTGGAATACCGCGCTGTGGCAAACTTACGCTGAAGAGGCTGGTTTGTTTGAGGTGCATTTCCGTCAAGGTCCGTTGGGGCACGCGGGCGATAAACCCACAACTGTTGGCACCAACTTGCCCGACCTTAGAGACTTGCAAGCGTTTCAGGGTGAGGTATCGCAGGTTTGTGGTAGCGCCGACAGCCGTGTGTCTCCAGTGTGGGCGCCGGGGTTTGTGCAAGCCATCGTGTACGCACTCCAACGTTGGCCCTGTTACCGCATCATGAAATTCACCCAAGCGGATTGGGAACAGCATGTTGCGAACAATCACGTGCCGTACCGCCGTGATTGTGCAGTTTGCGTGCACGGTGCCGGAAACGGCCGCCGCCACCACGGTGTAGTTCACCCGGATGTGTATTGCATGTCAGCCGACATTGCGGGGCCCATCCGTGTGAAGGGCAAAGACCCAGAAAGCCGCAACCACCGACCAGCCACGTTCAAGTACTTCCTCGCTGTGTCGTACCGCTTCCCACGGCTCAAAGGAGTGAAGGAGGAGTCAGACCCCAGCCAAACCGAGGGGTTTGATGATGCGGCACTCCTCCCGGGAGGGACGGATGACCTTGCAGATGAGGCCTTTCCCGCAGCAGAAGGCCCCCCGCACGAGGATTACGAGGACTCCCTGTACGAGCCAAGTTTAGCGGAAGAAGAGGAGGAGGCGGAAGGTGAAGGAGTTGAAGGGCCGAGGGAGTTTGCAGCCAAAGTTGCCGAGGAGCATCTCTGGGAGTCAGCCAGGTGTGAACTCGAAACACCGCCTGACATGGCGAGGCTGGTGTTTGCAGTGCCACTTCACACAAACAAGGGTGATGATATCCTAAATGCCCTCCAACAGGTGTACATTTCCCTAAGGTCCCTAAACCTCCCCGTGCTTCGTTTCCACACAGACCGCAGTCGTGAGTTCTTCAACAAAAGGACTCGAGCTTGGTTTCACGAGCGTGGAGTCCGCACAACAACAACAGAAGGGGACGTTCCGCAGCAGAACGGCTCTGCTGAGAACACCGTGCGCTGGCTCAAAGCACGAGCACGAACCCTTCTCACCTCTGGCGAGGTTGACTCGTCCTTGTGGCCTTGTGCAATCATGACAGCTGCGGCTCAGCAACGGGCGCAACAGCTGGGCATGAAGTCCAAGCTTGCCATCCACTTTGGAGGGAAGTGTTCCGTGAAGCGAAAGTTTTTTAGCAAGAAGGGTGATTTGGAGGATAGATGGGTTGAAGGTAAGTATATGGGGTTGTCACCATCTGTGAATGATGGTCACATCGTGTTGCGCAGCGATGGTGTTGGCAACGGCTTTGTGCAAACACTCCATGTTCGCACCCGCCTTGTTTCTCCGGATCCACCGCCCTTGCAGTTTGTAGGAGACTCGCTTGAGGAGGAGCACACACCACCTCCACGCAGGGTTCGCGGCAAGCGGTCTGCTGGTGTGAGACTTGACGACGTCTTTGCACTTGACCCGCCGCCTCCCTTGCCGCCGCCAGCAGAAGCTCCACACCCGGAAGGGCCTGTGTCACCGGTTGAGGAGGAGTCTGCCCGTGTAGCGCGCTTGAGTCTGCAAGACCTTGAAGGTTTAGCTACGGAGCTTATCGAGGACGACTGGGACCTTGATGAAGCGTTGTGGGTGTTAGCCGAGGTGTGCAGAGCAGCGCCCCAGCTGCAACACAAAGCTGGGTTGTACCGTCACGGAGGTGTCGTAGGAGTTTTAGGAGGTACCACAGATAAGCCTTGGCTGACAGAGCTTATGAATATGGTGCTTTCCGCAGTTGCACCCACAGCTGAGTACACCTCGCTTTGGTTGTCTAACTCCACTGTTCAACCCGTGCACGCCGACCACCACAACCTGCAGGGATCCACAAATGTAGTCCTCCCTTTGAAGCTCCCGCCTAACGGAGGGGATTTGTGGATAGAACTCAAGCCTGGTGACCTAGTCAGTGGCCCTGTAGAGGAGCGGGTAGACGGCAAAGGTAGGCGCTGGTTAGGGACAACTCACAAGTTAGAGCGCGGTAAGCCCTTTTTCCTAGACCCTACTCGCCGCCACGCCACCACTCCCTGGAAGGGTGAGAGAGCAGTCCTTGTTGGCTACACTGTCAACACGTTAGGCAAAGAGCTTGAGCACGAGTTTCAAAGCCTTGAAGCCTTAGGTTTTCCACTCCCAGCGTCGGTACGTTTACCGCTGACTGAGCAGCAAGACGTGAGACGTCTAGACGCGTTTGACTGCTTCGAAGAAGAGCCCCTTCAGGAGACAAAAGCACGTCACCCTGACGGGAAGACTTCGGAGTTGGCGCCTGGGACTGTGCTTAAAGGCGGAGGTTGGAAAGAAACCCAAGCCGTAGAAGCAGGTACTGTAGAGCTGGAGGTGTCGTGGAACCTGAAACACTCGCCGGACCAAAGGCGAACCCAGTCTGAGCACGCCCTGCTGGCTTGCCAACCAGACACCGAGACACAGGTTGAGGAGGAGGAGAGCTTAAGCGAAGACTCCTTGCCGGAGCAACCAGTGCTGTGGGAGTTGTGGGTTCCAGACCCGCAGACCGGTGAGCAGCTGTGTGTTCTCCGGTCTGACGACTCGGACGCGAGCGAAGCGTGTGCCCTTTGCAAGTCTGAGCCGGTTTACACTACCAACGTGGAGCTGTTGCTTGACGGGTTGCAAGAACCACTGCAGGTAGTCCACACTGTAGACCCTCGGGATGCAGAGCAATGCATCGAGAAGTGGATGCCGTCCATTCACAAGGAGATCGGTGTCATTGAGAAGGCTGTGCGGCGACTGCCTCCTGCAGAGGTCCGTTCCGGAGGTTGGCTAAAGCGCAAGGAAGTGAAGGTGGTTCCGTCTAAGTTTGTGTTCACAGTCAAGCCACCAGACCCTGCTGAAGCCTCCCTCGCTACCCGGAAGGGTCAGGCTTACCACAAGCGCAAGGCTCGCCTGGTTGCTTGTGGCAACCACGCCCCAGGCACGGGGTCCGAAGTCTACGCTTCAGGTGCTGCTGCAGAGACACTCCGTTGTTTTGTAATCATCAGCTCCAAGAGGAATTGGTGCATCGGGTCTCTAGACGTCACCTCAGCTTTTCTGTTGACCCCAATCCCGCAAGGCAGAGGTTTTCCAGTGTTTGCTCTCACGCCGCCTAGGTTGTTAGTGAGACTAGGTTTGGCAGAGGAAGGGGAGCTTTGGATCCTCACGCACGCTGTGTACGGGTTGAGGGAGTCGCCTAAGCTTTGGTCGGACTTCAGAGACTGCCAACTTCGGGCGCTGAGGTGTGTTGTTGACGGAGTTGAACTGCAGCTCCAGCAAGGAAGGTTGGACCCAAACTGGTGGCGTGTTGTTCGCACCTCTGACGGGGTAGTCGTAGGAGGGTTGCTCACTTACGTTGACGACTTTTTGCTTGCAGGCAGTAAAGAGGTGATCGAAGCCTTGGCTACGGCCATCCAGGGCATCTGGAAAACGACGCCTCTCGCACTTGCCACCGCAGAGCACCCGCTGAGGTTTTTAGGGGTTGAAATCCTAGTGCAAGGTTCCGGGTTTGTGTTGTCCCAGCAGGCTTACGCCGAAGAGTTGCTGCGTCTCAACGACGTGAAGCCCACTGCACTAGGTAAGGTCCCCTGTCCACGTGACCTTGTTTCGTTTGACACTCTCCTGACGGACGAATCCCCAACCGAGGAGACCGTTCGAACAGCACAGAGGCTGACTGGAGAAATCCTGTGGCTAAGCCAACGCACTCGGCCTGACTTAGCTTTCACTGCTTGTGTGCTTGCCTCTCTCAGCACGAAGGCGCCGCAACGAGCCATCCGCATTGCAGAGAAGGCCCTTGCGTATGTGCAGCGTACCAAGGCGCTGGCTCTCACCGCTGATGCGGATGACACAGGATTGATCGCGTATAGTGATGCCAGCTATGCGCCGGAAGGGAATCGTTCTCACACAGGGTGGGTGGTTTTCCTTCACGGGTCGCCGGTGTGCTGGCGTTCAGCACGACAGTCTTTTGTCACCCTCAGCACCGCAGAAGCCGAGCTTGTTGCTGGACTTGACGCTGTAGTTGCCCTTCAGTCAGCAGAGGCCATGCTGAGTGAGTTTGGGGTTTCTAGCTTCGACAAGACTTTGAGGGTTGACTCACAGTCTGCACTGGCCATCGCTATCGGCCAAGGGTCTTGGCGAACCCGCCACCTAAGGGTGCGCGCCAACTACCTTCGAGAGCAGTATGAGTCTGGTGAGATCATCCCTGTCTACTGCCCAGGAGTTGAGCAGGCCGCAGATCTTCTGACGAAAGCACTGCCATCTGCGAGGATCCTTGAACTCGCAGCCATCTGGGGTTTGCTTGAGCATGGCGTACCTCGCCGGGCGGAAGCTCAGGCCTACAGTGAAACTCAAGCTGTGGGCACTGGGACCGTGGCGCAGCAAGACCTGCAGCTGAGTGCCTTCGCTGTCCTGCTCGCCTTCTTTCAGGTCGTAGGTGCTGCCAGCCAGACAACGGACGAGGAAGAAGACTTGTCTCTCCCCGTGTCGCTTGATGCAGATTTGATGTTGGCAGTATCCATCATCTGCATTGGTATCTGCTTCATTGCAGTGTGGGAGTTCTTCAAGTGGTGCCTTCAAGGCGTCATCTCCCGCCGAAAGGCAGGGACACCCGTGTTGTCTCTGAGCCCCCGCAAGGCGCGCAAGTTACAGCGCCTTCGAGATCAAACTGCGCAGGCCATCCAGGCCGAGATCTCTGCACGTGAGGAGGCAGCCAGCTCGCAGTCTGTTGCTGCAGCGCCCAGACGCCGCCCCTCACAAACAACTCGCACGCGTGAGCAGGCAGGTGGAGCACCAACGCGTTACTTTGCAACACCCGACGGGACCAAGCTCCACCGCACTAAGGCCTGTTCCACGCTCGCCCACTCGCACAGGTTTGTTGAGTTTCAAGTGTGCCAGCAGTGCCACGGGAGCGCTGCAGACCACACCCAGCACAGCACAGGGTAGGAACTACTCCACCCTGACGGGTTGGATCTCTCAGTGAGCTCATCCGTAGCTGTGTCTTTTTCCGCACGAGGTGCCTTGAGAACCCTCGCATAGTGAGGGCAGTTGGCCCAGCTTTTGCCCGGTAGTTCAGAGTAGGTGTGTCGTCACCCTGACGGGTTGGACCTGCAGTAGAAAGTAGGTCGCAACTCCCTGGCGGGGCTGCGAAGGAGGAGTGCTGAAGTGCATGCTTCTTTTGCAGCTCATGCCATGTGTACATGTCCTTTTTCCTTTTGCTCGTAGGCCAAGCACAGTAGGTCTTGAGCAATGCATTTTAAGCACATCTGTACATTCATACTTGTAGGTGCCAAGCCCTCGCAAGTAGCACAGACTTCACTTGTTTTGTCTTCTTGCTTGCGTGTAAAACCTCCGCGATTGTGTGAGCCATGGGCAGTTCGGAAGACTCTGCTAGGGGATTAGCTACCCCACTAGTAGCTTCTGCTTCTATGCCTGCTGGTTCACACCAGCAATAGTAGTAATAGTACCCTGCACATCGATTCAGAGTCAGATGTGCAGTAGTGGCACTAGCCAAACTGACTTCAGCGGCTTGCAAGGGCCATGGGCTACGAGGCACGGATCCCGGATACGGTTTAGGCCTCGGGGCTGTGTGTAAATTCAAGGATTTTGTTCCAGAGCTTACGGCCACTGGCTTGCAAACGAATCTTCCTGCAAGGGCACGAGGCCTACTGATCAGCAATCAGTAACCGCTAAACACCCACTGCTGAAGATGTGGGAACCTCAGTAAACGGCGGCTGGTGTACGACTTCTTTGCACAACTACAAATAGTCCATCGGTACCAACGTGCAGGGAAAGAACCTTATTTTAACTTTATACGATCCAACTCGGTTCTGCGAATACAATCCCACCGGAACGGCCTCCCTTGTCGCTGAAGGTGTCACCGCGGCGTTGTCGACTACGGCTTCTTTCACGCCCTCCTGCTACAGTCTGGCTGTGCCATGCGTCGGCTCAGACCAAAACCAAAGTCTCTGGCAAAAGGATCCTACAATTTTTGGTCTTGGGAGTCTAGAGTTTAGGGTCCGTTGCTCCTACATCATACAGGCAATCGCTTTCGGCAAGACACGCGAGCTGAGGCAGACTGAGGCAGATCCAGCGACTGCGTGCCGGAAGACGGGGAGGGGTCTCAGCATCCCTGCAAGTCCAGATCCATTTGGGAGTTTCCGAAAATGAGAGACCCTAATATAGTACCCTAAATAGTAGGATCCTTTTTATGAGGACCCCCAAATAAGGTACCCCTTCTTTTCGGAAACTCCCATTTTGTCGGACGCCAACAAGGTACCAAACGCACGCCCTCTATGAAAGTCACGTCCAAGACAGGACCAATTCATACATAAATCAAACTTGCGCAGAATGCTTTAGCCCCACTGTTCGGCATACTGATACGACTTGACAACCAAAAAGCTGCAACATCGAGCCTCCTCCTCCACCTCCTCCACCCCCTGCACGAGGTGGCGTCCGGCTGCGATCCCGTCTGATCTCCGGTCGTGGAGAACGAGCGTCGCCTGGATTTGAAGTGGTTCTTCTCTCCGATATTCAAAGCTATGCTCCCCGGCCCCTTCGCCGGAGAATGTTTATGAATATCTGGAAACTCTCATTTGGCCCTTGTGTAACAAGAGCCTGTTCCAAAGGCTTCGCAAACAGAACAACTCCTAGCAATGTCAGTAGAAGCAGGTGCCATCGTCACCGTCGATATCGTTGCAGTGGCAGCGGTAGTGACGCTACTAGTGATGAAGGTGCTAGTGGCAGCAAGAGTAGTTGTAGTCGTAGTAGTCGTAGTCGTAGTCGTAGTCGTAGTCGTAGTAGTAGTAGTAGTCGTCGTAGTCATCGTAGTAGTAGTAGTACTACTACTACTACTACTACTAACACTGCTGCTAGTAGCAGCAGCAACAGCAGGAAGGAAGAGCAGCAGCAGCACTGGATGGTGGTAGTGGTGGTAGTACGGGTGGCCGTGGTGGCGGCAGCAGCAGCTGCAGAGCCAGAAGCAGTCATGGTGGTACAGTGGCAACGCTGGCTCTTAATATTTGGGGAAATTTGCTAAATCGCAAGCCTGACAAACCTAAACACATTTCTTGCATCTGGGGCAACCATGATGCTCGGTGATGCAGACATCATGAATGCACAAACCTAGCCTAAATCCCAACCGAAAAACACCCACACATTACACACCTCTCAAAAAATAAATCTCGAAGCCCCTCCCCCCCGCCCCCTTCCGCCGAGCTACGGCGCGGTGCGCTGCGGCTCCGCTCCCTCCGCCGACTGCGAGGTCGACTCCCGGAGCCGGGGTCCTCTTGAAATGCAACGGACGCGAGGATTTTCGAAAGGGGCGTAAGGGGTTCATAGTTTAGGGGTCGGAGCTCAGGTTTCAGTCTGAAGTTGCAGCTTCGTCGAGCAAGAAACCCCAATGCAGGGCTTCAACTCTCACAGTTTGGGGAACAGCGCGAGGCGCGCGAGTAACCATGCCGGGCATGAGGCAGCAACACACGTGTCAAACCGCGAATTTCAGTTCACAAGAGGTATGGGCCACCTACCCTCACCCTCCTCTAGTTGTGCGTACAGGTTACAAGTATACACAAAATACAATCCCGAGGGCCTCAAACGAACCTAAAGAGAAGCCTGGTGTTGCTTAAACCCGATGGGGTCGGTAATCCAAAGTATAGAACGGTCCGCCCATCTATCTACACCATCCTACACCCACTGAATGCATCATGATCTAGCGTATGTGTTTAAATATCGGCTTCATGTGGTTCGATGCTGCATGGGCTTGAAAGCGATCGACTGCAAGGGGCGTCCATAACAAAGGCAATTCAACGCTAAAGTCCGCTAAAGTGGAAATCCCGTCAGCGTGGCTACACACCCCGGCACAAGCCTTGGTTTGGACTCAAAAACATCTCCTGCTACATACATACCTGCATACATGCATGCATACATGCATACCTGTATATCTATATATCTATATATCTATATACATATAATACCTCTATATGTATGTATATATATATATATACATATATATATATATATATATATATATATACATATATATATATATATAACTATTTAGTTATATATATATATATACATATATGTATGTACCGTATGTATATCGCTAAATGAATGCACATGTCCATGCAAACATACCAAGGTTTCGGATGTCGGTGCCCAGCCGTGACCCCTGAATCTATTCAGCTCCTTCGCTTGGACGCACTCGATGGATCGCCCGGCAATTTGGTACATGTGGAACCCCTGGATCACCTGGCAGTTAGAGTCTCGGCACGGATTCCAGCAGAAATCGAGGCTGGAGTCGGCGACCTAGGGTTTATATATATATATATATATATATATATCTATATATATATATATCTATATAGGGTTTATATCGGGTTTAGGGCTTAGGGAAGTCTACAGGTCTTGAGTAGGAGTCTCGAGGTCTGCTTCTGCTTCAAGACCCGCCAAAACCATCCAAAATCTTGCGATGAGCGCTTTGCCCGATTGCCTTCTCAGCCTGAGCTTGCGAGGAGACCGTCATCTTGGCCGTGACATAGAACTCCACGGAGTCGAAAGTCAAGCCCTGCACTTGATGATCTCTGAGAAAGCTACAATGCAGATACAAGGTATCTCGAAACATGACTTCCTCTCAGGGTTTGAGGGTTGCGGGCTTCACGGCCTGAACTTCAGGGTGCATGACCCAGCCGACAGCACACTTCTTGAGACATGCCCACGGTTCTGATGTAATCTACCTCTGCGTACGAAGCACAGCCTGTACAGCAGCAATAACAAGTCTGCCGACATCGTCACGATGCGTCGATCGCTGGCAGCTCGAGGCAGAGCAGTGGGCAGTCTTTTCGTCGCAATGCTGCCGCATTTGGGCTCAGCACTTCCTCTTTACAAGCCTGCCACCGTTGGCAAGACACCCGTGCAAGAAGCCCCTTGTACCATACAACCACCGGTATTTTGCATGCTAATACATGCCCAAGCTGCCCTCATGGCTGTTCCTGAGGATGCGGATGGGCAGCGGTAGAGCCCGCAACAACATGCGCATCGTTCCTGATATAAGAGCTGTTCTACAAGTGACACTACAACCGAGACATAAAACAATAAGCAGAAGTTGACTGCGCGCCAGCTCATCTGTCGGATTTTGGGTGTAGAGGCAAGGAAAACCCTTGCATCTGCACCCTCTGCAGCAAGCGAAGGTGACACTGCGCATCCGGTCCGTACCGGCCAGCCGGCCACATACGCTTCATGGCTGCAAGTGCTAGCACTGTCTCTGTCTCTCTGCTCGCCACTTTGTGGGCGAGCCCCGGGCTTCAGAGTCCTCTTACCTTGGCCTCCGGGCCGTGTGAACACTGAGTCACAACTGAAGCTTTGCTGCCGAGGGAACACACGTTTCACTGGGGAACAATGCAAACAACAAGCTTAAGGATTGAAAGTCGCTCCTCCGTGCCTTGGGGCCAAAGTCTATACAGCAAGTTCTTGCATTGAATTGAATTTCGCTACAATAAACACCCATGCAGTCAAGCGGTACGGAAACTCTCAGTGGGGGCCCTTCAAAGGTGGATCTCCACTGCGATCTCGAAGCTCTTGGCGTCTCGGCCTATCGACTGCTTGAAGTCCCAATCCGCCTCCTCCCCATTGGGCAGCTGGCAGCATATCTTGTCGCCGAAGTTGTGCTCAGTTGGCTTTGCGCCGATCTGCTTGCGTGCACCTTCGCCAATGGTGACAAGGGCAGTAACACTGTCCACACCTGAAGGCACAGCAGAAGAACACTTCAGCTCAATGCTGCCCCGTCCTTTGGCCTTCTTGAATCCTGCACCATGCTTGCCGCCTGTCTGCGTGGCGAGGATTACCATCCGAAAGGTGAAGGGCTCTGCCTGTCCGGGGAAGTGCAACGCGAACTCGGGGCTCAGAAGCCGTTCTGAGTTCGAATCGAACTTCGTGGCGTCTACGTACCACTTCACCAACTCCCGATTTTCGTCCAGGTGCAGCGTCTCAAGTGTCCCGGGCCGTACACGTGGGGAGACACTGGGCGACATTGGTTTCGGTGAGCCCTGCGATGCTGGGCTCACGCTACCCAACAGGCGAGGATACTCGCAACCTGGCTGCACTGCTGGCATCGCAGAAGCGACAGCAGGAATTGCAAGCGTCGCAGGCACTGTCAGGAGCGATACCATGGGGGCTGCCTGGGCTATGCAGGCCTGCGCCGGGATGTAAGCCGAACGCGCCACCGGCGGTGGGACTGGGACTGGCGCTGGCACTGACACGGGAGCCACCGGCGGCTGGCTGGGTGTCTCTGCTCGACTGCGGGATTCGATCATCTTCTCCTCTTGAACCATCGCATCCCACTCCCATCGGTCTGGTGTCGCTGAGTGCAACAGTCGAGGCTTGGAAGACGAGGCTGCCTTTGCGGGCAGGGTCTGCATGGCCTGCTCCTCGTCCAGACTCTTGCAGATTGCCTCCAAGTCCCAGGGGTCCGGTGTTTCGAAACGATTCAGGGTCTTGAAGGTCTGCAGCTTCTTGACATTCATTTTCACGGGCTCGCTCGGCTCGGGGCAGTCTTCGATCACTTCTTTCTCTGCCTTCGGCTCAGCATCCTCTGAGACAAATTGTGCTTCACCTGTCTGCTCCTCTGTCTCGAGCTCCTCCTCGGCCTCATCGTCGGCTGCTGTCACGGGTGCGGTTTGCGATCGCTGAAGCCGATGACGTGGGCGGGCTTCGGAAACCTGCACGAAGGTGTTCACTACGGTGATATCGTGCTCGGGAAGGACTGGCATCGCATCTGCTGGTGCCATCGAGGGCAAGGGAACTTACCGGAACTTGGGCAAGATTAATCTGACCCACGCACCTCGAGCCTTCACAACAGCCAGGGTGTTGCTTACAGTCGGGAGGCACCCACAGATCTCCCACACAGAAAGGCAGAACCGAAGGAGCACATTTCATCCCCGGCCTTCTGCCCGAAGAGGCTGCGGAGCGCCGGCTCCTTTGCCCAAAACCCATGCCGTGCCCCTCCATTTCACGAAACTGACAGGAGCTCCTTTTTCCAACAATAGCAACAACTACTACGTGCGACTACTACGGCTGCTACTGCTACTGCTACTGCTACTGCTACTGCTACGGCTACGGCTACTGCTACTGCTACTGCTACTGCTACTGCTACTTGCTACTTGCTACTTGCTACTTGCTACTTGCTACTTGCTACTTGCTACTTGCTACTTGCTACTTGCTACTTGCTACTTGCTACTGCTACTGCTACTGCTACTGCTACTGCTGCTTGCTACTGCTACTTGTGTGCTACTTGCTCTTGCTACTTGCTACTTGCTACTTGCTACTTGCTACTGGCTACTTGCTACTGGCTACTTGCTACTGGCTACTTGCTACTGCTGCTGCTTAACTACTGTCACTATCAACCGTATGGCTCTGATCTTGAGCCTTTCTTTCTGAAAGTCAAGGTGCCGTGGCATCAAGAGGCAGGTTCTTTAGCTGGAGCTCCACGGGCTCTGGGAGTGGCATGCCACGGCCTCGGTTAAAGCCGAAGCGTTCCGGTGACCGTTTCACGAAAAGTCGCCCTTCCGCAGGTTCAGGCTAAATTCAGAACTTGCGACTAGGTGACTACGCACTTCAGGTGACTAGTCGAAAGACCTGGGTGGCGTTACGTGTAAAGGTCGGGGCTGCCTATGCCTCGAGCAGAATGGGAAAAGTGTGGATATTCTATGATTGCAGCAGCTGCTTCCAAAATGATGTCGGGGTTGTTGAGGAAACACTCGTGATTGCACTCTGTGCAATGCTGAGAGCCGGACCATACCCACCCTTCCCAAAGTCGTAGCCCTTCCCGCTGTCTCTTCTGTCGGCTGCCCTGTCGTCGAAGCCACGGCCTCGATCACCTCTGTCACCTCGGTCGTAGTCTCGCCCTCCTCGATCGTGGTCCCTGCCACCTCTATCACCACCCGGTCTATCAAAATCTCTCCTTCCGCGGTCGCCTCTGTCGGAGCCTCGATCGGCTCCTCGGTCACCCCTGCCACCATCATAGCCACGGCCGCCGTCGCGGCCGCCGTCGCGGCCACTGTCCCGGTCTCTTCCATCGAAGTCTCGACCTCGACCTGCATCGAAACTGCTGAAGCTCCCACCGTAGTTCGCCACGGGGGGAGGTTGCTGAAAGCCTTGCTGGTACATGTCATATCCCCCAGGATAGCCACCATAGCCGGCTCCTTGCGGTGGGGGTGGGGGTGCCCCAAAGCCTCCCCCGTACGACACATCCCCGGGCACGTAGTTGGGCGGCGGGTAGGCTTGAGGGAATCCGCCCTGGGAGCCGTAGCCAAACCCGCCTTCGGGCCCTCCACCAAATCCTCCGTTCCCCTGAGGCTGGAAGCCCGAGCCGAAGCCATCTGGAGCTAAGCCATCCTTGCCACCTCAGCTACCCAGAGCAGGTGTACACACAAACATACAGTGCATACATACATACATGCATATCTGTAGGTATGCACACCTTATATTCACATACAGACAAACAGATTTCGATACATAGGTATATGCAAAGACCAAGAAATACACAGGGAGATAGAGCTACATGGACACCTGAACCAAACACTATATAAGAATAAGAACATGTCAAAATCACAACACGAATACAACAAGATACGACTACGTACATATACAGCTATGCGAGCATCCGAATACATATACGCATGTTCACATATACACACATATATGTATGTATATATACATGTACATAAATACATGTCTGTACAAAGAATGTAGATATGTATCTGAATATTTGTGCAGTCCATATTTCAATATACACACATATAGAAATACAACATGCGTATACATGTATGCATAGGTATGCACCTATCCGAAAACATATACAAACATAGACAGCTGTAGAAGTACAGAAATAGCAAAACACATACTTGTAAGACTAACATATCATATGAATGGATGTACATATCCACAAGGATTATAGCATGTAACAGAAATACTCAATCAAAATTTGTATCTAATATGGCTACATATACAGCTACGTGCGCACATTATGCATGCATGTACGCATGCATGGACGGAAAAAGCTACGTATGCATGTACGAATGCAATTATGTATGTTCGGATGGAGGGGTGCATGGATGGATAGATGGATGGATGCACGGGCGGACGGACGCACGGACGGACGACCGGACGGACGGACGGGTGGATGTATCTCGATGTAGATATGTTAAAGCGCGGATGCCGAGCAGGATCATGGTGGCAGTGCTGATTGTCGCCACTCATGCGTTTACGGTTCCTTCTGGCTCACGCTACTACAAGCCTTGGCAAAAAGTAGTACTCGTAGAAACTAAAACCGTTTAAGTAGTCGTAGTAGTAGTAGTAGGAGGAGGAGGAGGAGTACCAGTAGCAGTACAGTAGCAGTAGCAGTAGCAGTAGCAGTAGCAGTAGCAGTAGCAGTAGCAGTAGCAGTAGCAGTAGCAGCAGAAGTAGTAGTAGTAGTAGTAGTAGTAGTAGTAGTAGTAGTAGTAGTAGTAGTACTAGTACTAGTACTAGTACTAGTACTAGTAGTACTACTAGTACTAGTAGTACTAGTAGTACTAGTAGTAGTAGTAGTAGTAGTAGTAGTAGTAGTAGTAGTAGTAGTAGTCGTAGTAGTAGTAGTCCCAGAAGTAATAGTCGTAGTGGCAACAGCAGCAGCAGTAGCATTAGTAGGTAGCTCGGTCGGGGTAGGTAGGCAGGTAGGTAGGTAAGTAGCTAGGTACGTAGTTCTTCTGTGTTTGCGTGGTGTACTGTTGCTGTAGGCGTAGGCTTATGTCTGTCACATCTTGCTTGGATAGACATGTGTTTGTGTTTGATGTATCGAAACATACTTCAACCACCCGTGTCTGGCGGAGTCGCCCGTTGGGGATTCTTTCGTCTTCAGTTGTGTTGCCAACCGGAGTCGAACAACCACCGACTCCCCAAAGGAAAAGTCGATCCCAACTACAGAGACTCGCCTATACCCATGCCCATAGCCCTTTTCGGACAACTCGGAGGGCCCTGGAAGTAAGCAGGGCTACAACCATCTCAGGCATGTCAACACCTCGTATTTCCAGCTCCCGAACAGTTTTTGAAGTCCCCAGACAAGCCACTACCAGGCGGTGGAGGAGGTGGTGGCTGCGGTGGCTGAGGGAGCCCGTCCATGCTTCTAGCCTCGACTGCATGCCCACGTGGCTTTAGGACTGTCGTGGCACTTGCACAAGGGCTGAGGATCCATTGACTTCTGCCTCTCTTCATCTCTCTTCACGTAGCTAATATCGATGAGTTTTAACATGGAGATCTGACTCAAACTACCTTACCTCAGCGCGGAATAATGGGCACTTGTCAGGACATCAAGCGCCGGGCGAAGACGCTGTGGCCCGTGGAACATGCACTGGTGGCACACTTGGCCTGCAGGCATCTTCGGATCTCTGTCACCCGGGAGTTCAGTAGATCGGGCACGGAGGATGCGCTGTTTGGAGGGCATGCTGACCGCGCTTGACGGTCCACGTCTCCGACGCGTGCTTTGGTGACAAAACAAGCCCACAACACACTCACCTGCGTGGTATTTGCAGCGGCAAAGGTATCTCAAAGAAAAATATTACAGGTCAGTTCCCTGGTGTGCATGTGTGACTCGAATGTGAAGCGGAAAGTGTGCACATTGGTCATAGGCTATACTTAACTTGTCCGTGCATGCACCTATTTCCAGCGACTCTGTGCGTATATGGTAGATAAGTGATTTCCATGACCAGGCATATGACAGATCTCAAGTGAAAGCATAGGTGGTTCTCGGATGGCACAGGGCATGACATGCAACCGCACTGTTGGGAAGTGGCCTTGTCCAGTGGCGTGTGACCCGATACCCCGTAGCTTGGAGCCGGAAGAAGGTCGGAGAGGAGTCTGAGGCTCTGCTGCTTCAGTTTGACTGGGAGCTTCCGAAAATAGGGGTACCTTGTTTTGGGGTCCTTATAATAAGGATCCGACTATTTAGGGTACTATATTACGGTCCCCTGTTTTCGGAACTCCCAACTGGCAGGGCTTCGATTCCACCACAGACGGTCCCTGACATATGGGCAAGCCTTTTGGTCGCATCATGTCGCAACACTGCTGCCTCGTGTGGGTTCAGCACTTTCACTCTTTACAGTCCTGCCACCGTGGGCGAGACGTCCGTGCAAGAAGCCCGCTGTACAGAGCAACCATCAGCTTTCTCAGTTCTCTTGCTGCACCCAGCTACCCTCAGAGGCCCTCATGGTTGTCTCCGAGGATGCCGGTGGGAAGCATTAGAGCCCAAATCATGCGCACAGTTCCGGTGTTAGTAAATGCTGCCTCGAGTGCTAGGTGTCACACTTCCTCGCTGCATGTGCACGGAAATACAGGTGTACGCACATCGGCTCATGTGTCAGATCGGTGTGTGGCGGCAAGGACGCCCCTGTCGTCTGCACACCATCTTGGAGCGTCAGGCACACTCGAAGACGTTGCACACGATGAGCCCAAGAATGCTAGAGCTACACTACACTTGTACGGTTGTTCTGCACTGGCAAGGGATTCGTCAACACATGTTACGGTGCACGTGTGCAGTCGAACTGAACACTTAGCAAGTCGACAATCGCTTCTTCGTGCCTTGTTTGCAATGGTCTATACAGCAAATTCATGCATTGAAACTAATTTCACCACAATTTACACCGGGGCAGATGCCTGTCAGTGGGGCCACTTCAAAGGTGGATCTCCACTGCGATCTCGAAGCTCTTGGCGTCTCGGCTGACCGACTGCTTGAAATCCCAATCCGCCTCCTCCCCGTTGGGCAACTGGCAGCATGTTTTGTCGCCGAAGTTGTGCTCAATTGGCTTTGCGCCGATCTGCTTGCGTGCACCTTCGCCGATGGTGACAAGGGCAGTGACACTGTCCACACCTGAAGGCACGGCAGAAGAACACTTCAGCTCAATGCTGCCCCGTCCTTTGGCCTTCTTGAATCCTGCACCATGCTTGCCGCCTGTCTGCGTGGCGAGGATTACCATCCGGAAGGTGAAGGGGTCGGCCTGTCCGGGGAAGTGCAACGCGAACTCGGGGCTCAGAAGCCGTTCTGAGTTCGAATCGAACTTCGTGGCGTCTACGTACCACTTCACCAACTCCCGATTTTCGTCCAGGTGCATCGTCTCCAGTGTCCCGGGTCGCACACGTGGGGAGACACTGGGCGACATTGGTTTGGGTGAGCCTGGCGACGCTGGGCTCACGCTACCCAACAGGCGAGGATACTCGCAACCTGGCTGCACTGCTGGCATCGCAGAAGCGACAGCAGGAATTGCAAGCGTCGCGGGCACTGTCAGGAGCGATACTATGGGGGCTGCCTGGGCTATGCAGGCCTGCGCCGGGATGTAAGCCGAACGCGCCACCGGCGGTGGGACTGGGACTGGCGCTGGCACTGACACGGGAGCCACCGGCGGCTGGCTGGGTGTCTCTGCTCGACTGCGGGATTCGATCATCTTCTCCTCTTGAACCATCGCATCCCACTCCCATCGGTCGGGTGTCGCTGAGTGCAACAGTCGAGGCTTGGAAGACGAGGCTGCCTTTGCGGGCAGGGTCTGCATGGCCTGCTCCTCGTCCAGACTCTTGCAGATTGCCTCCAAGTCCCAGGGGTCCGGTGTTTCGAAACGATTCAGGGTCTTGAAGGTCTGCAGCTTCTTGACATTCATTTTCACGGGCTCGCTCGGCTCGGGGCAGTCTTCGATCACTTCTTTCTCTGCTTTCGGCTCAGCATCCTCTGAGACAAATTGTGCTTCACCTGTCTGCTCCTCTGTCTCGAGCTCCTCCTCGGCCTCATCGTCGGCTGCTGTCACGGGTGCGGTTTGCGACCGCTGAAGCCGATGACGTGGGCGGGCCTCGGAAACTTGCACGAAGGTGTTCACTACGGTGATGTCGTGCTCGGGAAGGACTGGCATCGCATCTGCCATTGCCATCGAGGGCGAGGGAACTCACCGAAACTGGGGCAAGGTTAATCTAACCCGCGCACCTCGAGCCTTAACGACAGCCAGATTGGCTTTGCTTCTGATGGTTAACCGTTTGACACATCCGACGAATCGTAGAGCTGCTCCCACCACAGGAGGTCCCTGACCTTTGGGCAAACTTTTGGTCGCATCATGTCGCAACACTGCTGCCTCGTGTGGGTTCAGCACTTTCACTCTTTACAGTCCTGCCACCGTGGGCGAGACGTCCGTGCAAGAAGCCCGCTGTACAGAGCAACCATTATCTCTCTCAGTTCTCTTGCTGCAAGCTACCCTCAGAGGCCCTCAGGGTTGTCTCCGAGGATGCCGGTGGGAAGCATTAGAGCCCAAATCATGCGCACAGTTCCGGTGTTAGTAACTGCTGCCTCGAGTGCTAGGTGTAACACTTCTTCGCTGCATGTGCACGGAAATACAGGTGTACGCACATCGACTCATCTGTCAGATTGGTGTGTGGCGGCAAGGACGCCCCTGTCGTCTGCACACCATCTTGGATTGTCAGGCACACTCGAAGACGTTGCACACGATGAGCCCAAGAATGCTAGAGCTACACTAGACTTGTACGGTTGTTCTGCACTGGCAAAGGATTCGTAAACACATGTTACGGTGCACGTGTGCAGTCGAACTGAACACTTAGCAAGTCGACAATCGCTTCTTCGTGCCTTGTTTACAATGGTCTATACAACAAACTCATGCATTGAAACTAATTTCACCACAATTTACACCGGGGCAGATGCCTGTCAGTGGGGCCACTTCAAAGGTGGATCTCCACTGCGATCTCGAAGCTCTTGGCGTCTCGGCTGACCGACTGCTTGAAATCCCAATCCGCCTCCTCCCCGTTGGGCAACTGGCAGCATGTTTTGTCGCCGAAGTTGTGCTCAATTGGCTTTGCGCCGATCTGCTTGCGTGCACCTTCGCCGATGGTGACAAGGGCAGTGACACTGTCAACACCTGAGGGCACGGCAGAAGAACACTTCAGCTCAATGCTGCCCCGTCCTTTGGCCTTCTTGAATCCTGCACCATGCTTGCCGCCTGTCTGCGTGGCGAGGATTACCATCCGAAAGGTGAAGGGCTCTGCCTGTCCGGGGAAGTGCAACGCGAACTCGGGGCTCAGAAGCCGTTCTGAGTTCGAATCGAACTTCGTGGCGTCTACGTACCACTTCACCAACTCCCGATTTTCGTCCAGGTGCATCGTCTCCAGTGTCCCGGGTCGCACACGTGGGGAGACACTGGGCGACATTGGTTTGGGTGAGCCTGGCGACGCTGGGCTCACGCTACCCAACAGGCGAGGATACTCGCAACCTGGCTGCACTGCTGGCATCGCAGAAGCGACAGCAGGAATTGCAAGCGTCGCAGGCACTGTCAGGAGCGATACCATGGGGGCTGCCTGGGCTATGCAGGCCTGCGCCGGGATGTAAGCCGAACGCGCCACCGGCGGTGGGACTGGGACTGTCGCTGGCACTGACACGGGAGCCACCGGCGGCTGGCTGGGTGTCCCTGCTCGGCTGCGGGATTCTATCATCTTCTCCTCTTGAACCATCGCATCCCACTCCCATCGGTCGGGTGTCGCTGAGTGCAACAGTCGAGGCTTGGAAGACGAGGCTGCCTTTGCGGGCAGGGTCTGCATGGCCTGCTCCTCGTCCAGACTCTTGCAGATTGCCTCCAAGTCCCAGGGGTCCGGTGTTTCGAAACGATTCAGGGTCTTGAAGGTCTGCAGCTTCTTGACATTCATTTTCACGGGCTCGCTCGGCTCGGGGCAGTCTTCGATCACTTCTTTCTCTGCCTTCGGCTCAGCATCCTCTGAGACAAATTGTGCTTCACCTGTCTGCTCCTCTGTCTCGAGCTCCTCCTCGGCCTCATCGTCGGCTGCTGTCACGGGTGCGGTTTGCGACCGCTGAAGCCGATGACGTGGGCGGGCCTCGGAAACTTGCACGAAGGTGTTCACTACGGTGATGTCGTGCTCGGGAAGGACTGGCATCGCATCTGCCATTGCCATCGAGGGCGAGGGAACTCACCGAAACTGGGGCAAGATTAATCTAACCCGCGCACCTCGAGCCTTAACGACAGCCAGATTGGCTTTGCTTCTGATGGTTAACCGTTTGACACATCCGACGAATCGTAGAGCTGCTCCCACCACAGGGAGGTCCCTGACCTTTAGACAAACTTTTGGTCGCATCATGTCGCAACACTGCTGCCTCGTGTGGGTTCAGCACTTTCACTCTTTACAGTCCTGCCACCGTGGGCGAGACGTCCGTGCAAGAAGCCCGCTGTACAGAGCAACCATTATCTCTCTCAGTTCTCTTGCTGCACCCAGCTACCCTCAGAGGCCCTCATGGTTGTCTCCGAGGATGCCGGTGGGAAGCATTAGAGCCCAAATCATGCGCACAGTTCCGGTGTTAGTAACTGCTGCCTCGGGTGCTAGGTGTCACACTTCTTCGCTGCATGTGCACGGAAATACAGGTGTACGCACATCGGCTCATGTGTCAGATCGGTGTGTGGCGGCAAGGACGCCCCTGTCGTCTGCACACCATCTTGGAGCGTCAGGCACACTCGAAGACGTTGCACACGATGAGCCCAAGAATGCTAGAGCTACACTAGACTTGTACGGTTGTTCTGCACTGGCAAGGGATTCGTCAACACATGTTACGGTGCACGTGTGCAGTCGAACTGAACACTTAGCAAGTCGACAATCGCTTCTTCGTGCCTTGTTTACAATGGTCTATACAACAAACTCATGCATTGAAACTAATTTCACCACAATTTACACCGGGGCAGATGCCTGTCAGTGGGGCCACGTCAAAGGTGGATCTCCACTGCGATCTCGAAGCTCTTGGCGTCTCGGCTGACCGACTGCTTGAAATCCCAATCCGCCTCCTCCCCGTTGGGCAACTGGCAGCATGTTTTGTCGCCGAAGTTGTGCTCAATTGGCTTTGCGCCGATCTGCTTGCGTGCACCTTCGCCGATGGTGACAAGGGCAGTGACACTGTCCACACCTGAAGGCACGGCAGAAGAACACTTCAGCTCAATGCTGCCCCGTCCTTTGGCCTTCTTGAATCCTGCACCATGCTTGCCGCCTGTCTGCGTGGCGAGGATTACCATCCGGAAGGTGAAGGGGTCGGCCTGTCCGGGGAAGTGCAACGCGAACTCGGGGCTCAGAAGCCGTTCTGAGTTCGAATCGAACTTCGTGGCGTCTACGTACCACTTCACCAACTCCCAATTTTCGTCCAGGTGCATCGTCTCCAGTGTCCCGGGTCGCACACGTGGGGAGACACTGGGCGACATTGGTTTGGGTGAGCCTGGCGACGCTGGGCTCACGCTACCCAACAGGCGAGGATACTCGCAACCTGGCTGCACTGCTGGCATCGCAGAAGCGACAGCAGGAATTGCAAGCGTCGCAGGCACTGTCAGGAGCGATACCATGGGGGCTGCCTGGGCTATGCAGGCCTGCGCCGGGATGTAAGCCGAACGCGCCACCGGCGGTGGGACTGGGACTGGCGCTGGCACTGACACGGGAGCCACCGGCGGCTGGCTGGGTGTCTCTGCTCGGCTGCGGGATTCGATCATCTTCTCCTCTTGAACCATCGCATCCCACTCCCATCGGTCGGGTGTCGCTGAGTGCAACAGTCGAGGCTTGGAAGACGAGGCTGCCTTTGCGGGCAGGGTCTGCATGGCCTGCTCCTCGTCCAGACTCTTGCAGATTGCCTCCAAGTCCCAGGGGTCCGGTGTTTCGAAACGATTCAGGGTCTTGAAGGTCTGCAGCTTCTTGACATTCATTTTCACGGGCTCGCTCGGCTCGGGGCAGTCTTCGATCACTTCTTTCTCTGCCTTCGGCTCAGCATCCTCTGAGACAAATTGTGCTTCACCTGTCTGCTCCTCTGTCTCGAGCTCCTCCTCGGCCTCATCGTCGGCTGCTGTCACGGGGGCGGTTTGCGACCGCTGAAGCCGATGACGTGGGCGGGCCTCGGAAACTTGCACGAAGGTGTTCACTACGGTGATGTCGTGCTCGGGAAGGACTGGCATCGCATCTGCCATTGCCATCGAGGGCGAGGGAACTCACCGAAACTGGGGCAAGATTAATCGGACCCTCGAACCTCGAGCCTTCGGCATGCATTTGCAGTTAGTGCGCTCAGCTCTTCCTGCATGTAGATACTTCTCATCTCACCAGCAGAGAGTACGAATTGACAAAGTCTAAGCGCACGAACATCACTGTCACCCTGAGATCTATCGAAGGTGCCTGGCTGTCTGAGCTTTGGGTATAGTATCTAAGTACATGATGCCCGAAGAAAGTGCACAATCTCCATTTCGCGCGCAGGTGAGAAGCTATGGACAAGCATGTTCGATGCTCCAACTCCGCGATCAGTTCTTGCGCTCGTCCCGGTAGCTCACCTGAAGCGTGCTTTTCGTAATTGACGCATCAGCAAGAGGAGCAGTAGTAGCAGTAGCAGTAGCAGTAGCAGTAGCAGTAGCAGTAGCAGTAGCAGTAGCAGGAGCAGGAGCAGGAGCAGGAGCAGGAGCAGGAGCAGGAGCAGGAGCAGGAGCAGGAGCAGGAGCAGGAGCAGGAGCAGAGCAGGAGCAGGAGCAGGAGCAGGAGCAGGAGCAGGAGCAGGAGCAGGAGCAGGAGCAGGAGCAGGAGCAGGAGCAGGAGCAGTAGTAGTAGTAGTAGTAGTAGTAGTAGTAGTAGTAGTAGTAGTAGTAGTAGTAGTAGTAGTAGTAGTAGTAGTGGCAGTAGTAGTAGTAGCAGTAGTAGTAGTAGTAGTAGTAGTAGTAGTAGTAGTAGTAGTAGTAGTAGTAGTAGTAGTAGTGGGAGCAGTAGCGGAGCAGTAGCAGCAGCAAGAGCAGTGGCAGTGGCAGTGGCAGTGGCAGTGGCAGTGGCAGTGGCAGTGGCAGTAGGAGTAGGAGTAGGAGTAGGAGTAGGAGTAGGAGTAGGAGTAGGAGTAGGAGTAGGAGTAGGAGTAGGAGTAGGAGTAGGAGTAGTAGTAGTAGTAGTAGTAGTAGTAGTAGTAGTAGTAGTAGTAGTAGTAGTAGTAGTAGTAGTAGTAGTAGTAGTAGTAGTAGTAGGCACCCCCCACCCCTACCAACTACACTTGCTCTTAGCCATGTTAAGACGACATCCATTTTACTCGGTATTTACGGCACTTTCGTCATGTGCGATCATCATAATAGACCTCAAAATCGACTTGTCGAGTTTGCAAACTCGGGCTCTTGATTTTGGACTTGCTTCTGGGGGTGGGTGGGGGGGTGGGGGGGGGGATGATGACGACAGTGTTACGCGAACACACCCAGCAGTATCACCACAAGAGCCGTTTAACTCGGTATTTACGGTACTTTCGTGATGTCAGACTTTGTTACGTATTCTGAGCCCCTACTTCTCGACTATGCGTATTAAACTTTGCTCTTTGGAACTGTTTGCAAAAAAACTCGAAATTGGGTGGGGGGAAGCTTCTTCGGGGATGATCACAACACTGTTTTGCGGACACCCTGAACAATATTTACACACTCAAGCGCGCACACACCGCACACACCACACACACCACTTCAAAAACAAACCCTCCTACGCAGAGGTTGGGCGGTAAGGGTGTTGCCGAGCCCGTCCCAAATACAGCTGGCATCTTTGTTTTTGATGTTCAGAAGATGTTGCGCTTCAGGTTTTAAAAACGTTAAACCCTTGTTGGCAGCACCTGGGTTTTGCACGGTATTTACAGCATTTTCGTACTTTCCGACCACCTGGGGTTTATCAGTTTCTTCCCCGTCGAGCTTGCAACTCCAGCTGCTGTGGCAGTTTTGGGGCCTGAGCCCCTGCAACTTCACCGGCTGTGACAGTTAAGGAAACTGAGCCTCTGCAACTTCTGCAGCTGTCACAGATAAGGAGCCTGACCCCGTGCATCTTCTGCAACTATCGCAGTTAAGGCGCCTAGCAGCTACCGCTGCCCAGCCCGGATGGAACAAGTGTAGTTGGTAGGGGTGGGGGGTGGCTAGTAGTAGTAGTAGTAGTAGTAGTAGTAGTAGTAGTAGTAGTAGTAGTAGTAGTAGTAGTAGTAGTAGTAGTAGTAGTAGTAGTAATAGTAATAGTAGTAGTAGTAGTAGTAGTAGTAGTAGTAGTAGTAGTAGTAGTAGTAGCGCCAGCAGCAGCAGCAGCTGCCGTAGTACTACTGGTGGCAGTGGCACAAGTAGACGCAGCAGAGGACGAAGAGGAAGGTGGTCCACATCCGGGTCACTATTCGGCCGGCCTGGCCTGACGCCTTGCAGTGTTTTCTCAAATTTCAGTCCTGGAATGTCAGCAGTGCCTTGACTTAGCAATGCTCGTGACGGGAATCTCAGATGACTCTAGCCACGCCAAAACAAGTCTCTTCCACCGCACATAAGCGCTCGGGTGTTGCCATCCCTCTGTGCAGCGTGCACGCAGGCCTGTGGCACAAGCATTGATCGCAGTGCTGTAGCCGATGGTGTCCGGCACAACCTCCTCGCATTGCAGAAGACCATTGCGCCGCCCTTCATGACCACACAAATTCCCGACCGAACACTCCCGTTCACATCTTATGGTCTTATGGGATTGTGGCATACGAGGCTGATCAACCAGGCACAGATCGCAATAGAGGGAGCCCATTGTCAAAGACGACTGCAAGACTCCGCAGGCCTCTCTAATGCCCAGCGCCAGCGCACTCGTGCACTGCAAACTAAACGACGAGATCCGGCGTGACCCGTGACTCTGGCTCATAGGACAACATGGGAGTTTCCGAAAATAGGGGTACCCTCTTTTAGGATTTTAGGGTCCTTATATTAGGATCCTACTATTTCGACTCGCACACTCGCACAATCGCAGGCACGGCTTCTGGGTCCATTGCTATCCTACTATTTAGGGGACTATGTTAGGTTTTCCAGCTTTCGGCAACTCCCAAATGGCGAGGGGGCACAGGCCTCCTCTTGCATGCGCTGTAAGAGACGCAGCGCCAGTCCCCACTCCATCTTCTGCTGTGCAGCATCCAATACCTCGAGCTAAACCCTGGCTTATGGACACTAGCGTTACTTACCTTTGGTTAGTAGGGAATGGAGGAATGGGGTGCAATTATGACTACTATTAGTACCATTCTTCCATTCCGTACTATCCAAAGGTAAGGTTCAGGCGAAGGGATGAGGTCAGGTTGCCATCAAAATGGGAGCTGGCGATCTGGAGATTATTTTGCATGAACAAACCGTCGCACAAGGCTCCCCCACCA